ATGGCTTTTTGCTGTATTGTAGCACGAAGATATAGTGATGGCCAAGAAAAAAAAGGTGTATGGCGGAAGGCAACAAAATTCGTAAGATGCTTCTAGAAAAATACCGCATTTTGCCCAAACACGCTTTTTGCCTAAGCATATTCAGGAAAAACTCTTCGCTTAAGGCCCAAAAGGGAAAGGTGGAGAGGAAGAAGCTTTCCGCATGCTTTCCGTAAAAACGGTACCACTCGGCTGCCTCAACAATAGATTGAAGAAGGGCTTAGACGTGGAAACATATGCACAAATAAACTCCATTCTAAAACTCACTTGAGCGATAATTGGTTCTAATAAAATTGCAGGGAAAAAACTCAAATTTTAGTACCTGAGAATACCTGTGAATGCATTTTAAGAAGAGCGATAATTGTCAATACTTCTAACCTGTGCCAGTATAAATGGCACCCCCATTCATTCATCCTTTTGCCCGTGCGCTTTGTCGCACACGGTCTGCTTAGTCGGTTAGTTAATGGTCATTAAGGTTGACCCATTGTTACTTAATGACACGATTGTATAACTTTAGGGGCTGAACCACGCCCCACACCTCGTCACTTCTACCACTGCACCACCGAGTGCAGGTCGAGCTAATAAAGATCCACTATATTTGTGTAGAAACACACACACGGGCCTGCCATACGCTCAGTTTCACCGGCTATACCACAAGCCATCTAAAGCCACCACATAACCACTCTTCGTCATTCCTTGCTTTGGAACCATTTATCTATCAAAAATTGTCGCTTTTCTTATTGAATTCATTCACAGGTACTCTCAGACACTAAAATTTGAGTTTTTTCCTGCATTTTATTCGAAACAATCGCTCAAGTGAATTCTCTAGAATGGAATTTATTTGGGCATATGTTCCCACGTCTAAGCTCTTCTTTAATTTGGTATTGTTCAGAGGCAGCCTAGTGGTACCGTTTTTCCGGAAGGTACGCGGAACGCTTGTGAGGCACTTTCCTCTTTACCTTTCCCTTTTGGGCCTTAAGCGAAGAGTTCTTTCCGAATCTTAGGTAAAAAGTGCCGAAAAACTGGGCAAAATGCGGTATTCCTCTACAAGCATGCTCCGGATTTTGTCGCCTCTGCCATACACCTGTCTTGTTCTTGGCCTCACTATACTTTGTGCCATAATGCAGCAAGCCATTTTCGTGAGCTCTCGGCAACAAGGAAAGCCTTCCACCCACTCACTAGCTGAAAAATGGACAGTATAAGTTCTTGAGTGATTGAAATTACAGACCAATGCTTTGATGTAGATTCAGGCGAAGATGAACTTAGATTAAGACCAAAGTTAATTCTGAAAACCACTTGTTTTTTTTAAAATACTATTTACCAATTTCCATTAAGTTGTTGAAGCATTTTCTTCTTTCTCATCGTCAGTGCTATTCACTGGAATCGGAGGTTATCGCACTTGAAGTCACTAAAATTAAGTCCTCCAATCCACTGAAAATAAGATTACTTCGCACTATAGTGGAAGACGTTTAATAATATGAAAATGGCTGCATGATGAACCCGCCGCGACGCGAACCGTCTGCGCAGCCAGCTACGTGAATTTAGATGGCGCCTCTTGTTCAGGGATCCGGGGAAATCATGTTTCAATGGATCATACGAATTCGGCATATAGATACTTCAAACGATTCTGTTTTTATTTTTGAAATCAAACAGCAAGTCTCAGCACGCCTCATTTCTTCGCTAATCTTTCAAATTGCGTTTGGAGTCAAAGCGCTTTAATCTTTTGAGGTTGCTTTTCATGAGTCTGCACGTTGCGCGCTCTGCTGTCCGAGTGTCTGACCGCTGCTAACCGCGGATTTTGCCGCGCACGATCCTTGCGATTGCCACTCACAAGTAAATGCCTCCCGACAACGCCTACGACACATGTCCGCAAGTCTATCCCAAGGTTCGGAGCGCATCTGCTCAGGAACAAATACATATATTCAATAGTTCACTTGAATCCATTTTTTCAGCAGCAGCCAATAAACGGCTTCTATTCGGTAAGAAGATGTGCAGCAGACAATCTAAGGGGTTTGCAAAATTTTTGAGAAGCTTTAAGAGAAAATTCTGATATTTTTTCTGTGATTCAGGCCTTCGACAAATTACTGGAGACCTCAGGTCTTGTGATTCGATTGGCACACACTTCTACTTCTCATTATTTTGCTTTCTTTATCAAACACTTCTGCATCCCCTGTCCCAACTTATTGCGCAAATAACAAAGATCAAAACATTTTCTCTCTTCTTTACTATATTCCTAAATCGCTTTATCTTGAAAAAAATGCGCTTTAAGTAGTGTAGTAGGCGTTGCAATACTTGTTCTTTTTCACGTGTTTCCAAAGATTATGGGTTTCATAATTTGCTGGACAAAAGGTATCTGTTTTCGTAAGGTCCCAATGAAAATCCTCTGCCGAGACCTGTCTCGTTACCATGTTCACTTTTGGGCATTCTTGCGAACGTCGCTTATCCCCGAAAGAGCCCATTTTGAATACGTCAAGCTTCCGACTCATGATAATATCAGGTCACTCCGAGGGTTTACGTTTTTTTTTGTGCAAGTTTGTCTTGATTATAAAATGTTATAGTAGTGCAATTGCCTAATACTCTAGATTTGTTTAACTATGGATCTTCCAATGCGAAGTTGTTTATAATCCAGTTGATCTGGCATTATTGGGTAAATCGTCGAAGTTCCCTCACCTTTTTACCTGACTGTAATCGCTATGCTCCTGATGTCAAAAACAGAAATTTGTTTCTGTACGTCAACCGTATTTCAAAGATATTAAGGACAGATCTAAGTAGACATCAAGACCACTATGAGAATAAGTCCTATTTCCATCAATGATTGTTCGAAATAATCATTTCAGTGCGCGGACCCTGTTAGTTTATGAGCTGATGCGATGCTGTGGATAAATTGCATTTTCAAAATGATAAAATGTGAGTTCCAAATGACTATTTTCAGAAGCCTCTTCCCTAGGGTTTTACCGTAATAACTTGGATATTTTTGGAACTCTTATGCAAAGTTGGGATCATGTAAATTCGTTGTGAATGAGAGATGTTATAACATACCTGGAAAAAACGAAGAAACTTCGAGTGACCTAATAAATTTCACTGTGGATTCCTTGAGGTTTCTACTGTAAACAAAGTTCGCTAGAAGTTTTTAGCCTCAAGGACTATTTGCCAGTCTTCGCTGCACATGCAAGATTTCCAAATTGGCCCGACCATAAACTTGCGAGTTAAATCTTGTGCAAAAGAAAGGGCATCTATTTTTTCCCCACAATGTGAGAGATGCAATATCAAATTCAAGCAACTACCACACGAGTACAACTGTTCGAAAAGCATTATTAGGACAAATTTCATGCAAATTTTTATTGCTGCAGGCAGGATCGATGGGAAAATATTAATAAGCTGGTGCAAAATGATAGGACATGCTTCAATATTTGTCACTATTGTACAACTAATACTTCGTAGCGTCTCCATTTTTTCTGATAACTTCAAACAATTCTACCATTACTGAATCAACCACCTTTTGCAATGTTGCATGGAATGTATCTGTTCCCAGCTTGCAAGGACTTGTTTCAGGCTTCCTACATCTTCGTACTGTCTTACATTAGCGTACACGCAATGAACCATAACTCCACAGAATCTCGATCAAGTTATCTGGGCTCGGGCCACGCCAAAACCAGAATACTATTGGACCGAAGCCAGTACAGCGTGGACTTGGAAGTGTGCAAGGGCATTTCGTTGGAAGATTCAATCTAAGCTTCCATAATAGGACCAAGGGGTACCAAAAAGGTGTGCAATACCCTTAAGTGAATCTAAGATAGTTGGGAGAGTCCATGCGACTGTCCACAATGACCATTTCCCTTTTCTGCTTGGGCTTCCGCATCATGATTCATCTACTTTAAAGGTGTTTCCGAAAGTATACTGTTCCTTAGATCGACCTCTAATTTAAACCATCAGTACCATCTAGATTAAGTTCTTCTCCTCTTTAAAAACTGAGGAGTCCCAATTCACAGTCCATATCGAAATGCGTGAGGCGATCTGTTTCTGGCGGTGTTGTCTTTATTTTTTGTTAACGTAAAGAGGGATTTGTTCAAATATTTTTCAATAGTTCATCGAGATGCAGACGTTCCAATACTCTTTCTGAGCCGGCCGGCGAGACATGTTCGTGTTGCTCGCAAGCCTCAAAAGGCGCCGATGCTCTGAGGATCTGATTGACCGTCCTCCTGGACTCTTCTTCATACCGGTTCTTAACAAAGTAAGAAAATGCTTGCATTTGTTCAGCAGCCTCGATGTCTCCGCTAGCTGTTGTTCTGATTATTATAGAAATTCATTTTTCGGAGCCGAAGACTGTTTTCCTCGGACATGATGAGGTTTACCAAAACATCACTGAAAACCTTTCAACGGACTGAATATTCATATCGTAGGTCCAAGTGATTCCATTTGTAGATTGGAATGGCGAAAAATGTTGATGGATGAACTATCTTTATCGATTATTAGAATTGCGCAGAGTTCACATCATAGATGTTTTCCAATACCTTCACATAAGAGCAAATTTTGGTTAAAATGATCATACTTCTTGGATTATCGGAAAAAGAGAATCTCCTATCATTTTGCACCTCATTTTACTTCAGCCGTGTGATGGTCACTTACAATTCCAAAATAAAGACCCCATTAACCATGTCTAATTAACTTACAAATTACTCACCATTGAGAAATCTTGGTAAGGTGCAAAAGAGAAAAAGCGAAATGTCTCCGTTTTTTTCAAAAGAAACAACGAATATTTGATCCTTTAGATCGATAGAGTTATTCCAGAACAGCGATTTTTCTGATCGTCGCAGTGCTTCAACCTATGTTTTGCCTCTATTCTTACAAGGGAAGGATGCTTAGTCGAAGTGACGATTTAAGAAGCGATACATAATATTAGAGGCAGTTTTAGATGCTGAATCCAAAACTGCCTTCCATATCTGCGAAGCGGTTCTGTGGGAGAAGTTATGAGCGTTTGAAACTTCAAAGCGACAGTGCCACCTCTATCAAAGGAAACTAATGCTTCGTCAACGAAGCCGGATAGTGTAGTGGTAAGTGTGTGGTTGTTAAGCTTTCGAACAATTTTGCATTTTCCAAAAAAATGTTTTCATGCGTGAATGAATGTTACTCACGAATTTCATTTAAATGATGGTAAAATTTCAAACTGTGAACTTCACTTTTTCTTTCCGTTTGAGGCTTTGTACGTTCAGTCTCATATATACAGCCCACGAGATTGATTTTACACTACACCATAGAAAGTTCATACTTAATTCTCCTTCGCTCATCTACTCTTAGTTTTGCTCTCCCCGTTTCAAAAGTTTCCTCTCTTATTCGTGCTATGCAGCTGGCTAATAGAACCTCCCGACTCGTTTGAAACTCCTAGTCAGTTTTGTTTTTTTCCCGGTTTGTTGGTAGACTCGAAAATAATGGCTGCAATGAAGTGACTTCCATTTGCTGTGCTCATTGCGAGAAGCAACTATGCTTCACACACTTTGTAATAGTATACATATATGTTCATAAATGTGTATCCTTTGCTTGTTAATAAGTTATGCTAAAACAATGCTTGAGAAGAAAATTCTTTGAAAAATGAAGAACCATCATTTGAGCGGAAATGCGTGGTTCATTTGTGAGTAACTTCATTGACCCACGAAATTATTTTTGAAAAAATGAGAAAGTGTTTGAAGGTGAGAGAAATCGTTGCATCAATCAACTTGACAAACCGCACAATTACCACAACCCCACGGCTGCTTCGTTCAGCCACCATTGGTTCGCTTTGATAGAGGTGGCGCTATCGCTCTGAATTTTCAAACGCTCATAACTTCTTTCAGAAAAAGCTTTGCAGATATGGAAGGCAGATTTGGAATCATCGTCTAAAACTGCATCTACAGGTATGCGTCGCTTCTTGAATGGTCTCTTTGACTAAGTATCCTTCCTTTGATAGTTCCCTTGCTAGATCACCAACAGATTAATTTACATGAAAATCGTTTGAGAAACTCCGAAATTTCTAAGACTTTTAGACGTTCACAGCTTCAAAAAGTACTATCTGTTCTTCCATATGCTCTATGATTAAAGGTTAAGATTTCGTTTGATTTTCAACTCACAAACTACTCACCTGAGCCACTTGCCTCCACTCTCCCGCAGCACGTTCGCTAGCATCTTCACTTTCCTGCCTCCTGATCAATATCTGAACTTTAGTTGATGACGCACATTGTATATTAAGCAATGTTTGTTAATACGTAGTGTTACCTGCAATGCCTTTAGCAGTTTAACTTTTAGATGGTCATCATTTCGCAATCGCTTCCTGGTAGCCCCGTTACGGTCAACAACGAGATGTGTGTGAGGAACATCGAGAAATACACCTTCTAGGGATGGCGCGAACTATAATTGAGTTATAAGAAATAAAGCTTCTTTTTTTGCTTGCATTTATAATGCTCAGATTACAACTC